GTTGGAAAGTTGGCTATACCACGTTAAGCGTAAGCCTAGAAAGTACCTGGACTGGAATTTCGTCTTAAGACAATGATATTGGCGATTATATACCTGAACAACTTGATTTTTGTACACTTTCAGAATCGCTTATGGCATTTAGCTATTTTAGCTCTGCCGAACTTTATATATATATATATATATATATATATATATATATATATATATATATATATATATATATATATATATATATATATATATATATATATATATATATATATATATAATTGTAGTGCTAATTTGAGTAGTATAAAAACTGACTATTTCGTTGTCTGTCAGTGTAAAAAATTCACTGCAAGTTAATTCTGTATTTAAATTAGGGTTGTATGCTTCTTTTATGAGGGAAATCTGTTCATTAGTAGGTGCACAATTTAAAAGACACAAGTGATTGAAGCATATTCGTTTTGTAACTTCACTTCAAAGGTTTACAGGTCATGGAAACACCTATATAAGCTAATTATTCATATCAGTCGGTAACAAAACATAAAAGAAATTGTATATTAGGAAGGATAATGAGTAAACTACAAGAGGATAGTTAAGTAGTTCTACACGCTAGGACCTCGAGTCGACAGTGGGCGTTCAGTTGTGAAGTGGGGGTAAATCGTTCGAGGAGGAAGTCAAAGCTTATCAGTGATCGTGGTGCATGATAAAAAGGGACCTCAGAGAACAGAGTGAAATGACAATGTGCTAATGAACCCCTATGTTCCAGTCGGAACCCATGGGAATAATAAGACGCAGTCCGAAAACATTCAGTAATGAGTATCACTCAGAAAACATTTACCATTAAAACTGCAAGGTCTTGGAAAGAAGAGTGTTGTTTGTAGAAGTAAGAGATTCACAATATGTATTAATTATTTTTAAAAGTCAGGAGTTTGAGAGGACGACGAGAAGAAATATGGATTACAGTACCAAATTATTGTACAAGGTAAAAAGAGTGTAGGGTGACGCTAGTGAGACGAATTAGAAAAACCGTTTATGTGTTTACAAAGTTCAGAGTTCCCCTTGTGTGTAGCTTGGGCTTCTGCTATGAACAGGAGATGTAGCCGGGAATCTTGCCAACGATTTGGTCGCTTATGTATCGACTTATTCTGGCTAGACTGTACCGTTAATTTATTCATCGTATACACTAGAGAAATTTCTTTCTTGTCAGCCAGTGCAAGCATTTCTCTATAAATTAATTATACTTTGAAAATGTCATTGTAGTTTGCGTCGATTATTTTCTAACTGGTCTGAAACCCCATATAGAGATGATTACGCAGTCAGCATAATCAAAGTGTAAATAAGAACTGGTGAAATAAAATGATGCAATTTTATAATGTACAACTTGTCCCTATTTATAGAACAAAATTTCATCAGAGAAGTAGTGTGTATGGGCGACTGAATCTATAATAAATGAAATCGGTCTTATCTCTCACTATTTAACTTTAGAGGAATGAGTGATTCATGTTCACATCTTTATTGATTTTTAGGTTTTGAATTTGAATAAGATTCTAATTTGATAATAAGTGATAGACGATAAAACTTTCCAATAACTTTTCTGATTTGTCATTACTTATTTAAAGTGAGTGATAATGATGTATGTCTTAAAAGTTATCACTAATTTATTGCATACCTGATGAATTTCTGCTTGGACATCTTGCATTTCCATGTGTATGGCATAAGTGAAAATTGTTCAGACATTTCTGGCAAAATTAAGACAAACAAATTCATGGTATTGTGAGGTATCAAGTAATATAACTCAATATTTGTTATGTTTTTTGTAGAAGTGAAGAGCACAAGAGTCTTTAAATGCTCACAGAGGCCAAAAGTCTCCTGCTGACGTCTAAAATATGCGATCGGTGATAAGATTTTGGAAAAGAGCTCTTGTTTTCTACTGCGAAATTCTACATTCGAGTTGACTCATAATGTCCTCTGGGGCATTTTAATGTTCGTGTTACATCATATTTTGTTGTTTTCGAAGATTCAAAAGCCAAAAGAACGACAGTCGAATGATTCAAATATAGCAGCACCTTCATCATTAATGTAAAGCTATCACACTTCTCTTTCTCTCTAAAAAAAATTTCAATCTGACATTGATCATGTACATAAACAGTAATATCGCCTGTCGCCTCAATAATCTCCCTCGAACACTGCTGAAATAGACAGGAAACATGCAAAATTTCATAAACTCTGTTGGTATGTTATCTATGTTTCAATATGTTTTCGCTTCTGGCTTTCCGTAAATTGATACTTGTTTTCATGTAATATTGGCTTATTAATCTACTCGAGGCTAAACCATGAAATAAGAAATATGTAGGATAGGTGTTGTGTGTAAGCAAGATTCATCTGTTCATATCATTCTAACTCATTTGTGTGTAAAATATATGGATTTGATAATGACAAGCAATCGATTCCCATATCATCACCATTGTCTACAATCCAGTCCCACGAATTTTGTGAATATTGTCAACAATAGCCCCCACCCTCCAAACACACATACATCATAATCACAGGAAAGAAACGATAGGGGATATTGGTGATGCCATTGCTACAGCTGTTTGTCTATATATTTCGCCTTGGAATTTAAAGATAGTAGATGTGACGCATAACTGAATTCCTAAAATAATTTCTTCAATGGGTAGCTTCGTCCTATAAGTGAGTTCAGGATCTGAAGTTAGTTTTTTTTAACTACATCTAAGGACATATTGATTAGTATGTTAGTATAAATAAAGACTAGTTATATCAAAACTAAGCATTGTTGTATTGTGTTGTATCTGACATACTCCATAGTTCCTTATTCGATGGTTTATCGTTCTCATGGAGCTGTCGCGAGTAAACAGGTTGAATATCTGTATCAGCCGCCTGTAGTGCAGCCGAATCCATGTCTATGCCCGTATTAAGTATGGCATTCACTGAGGAAATGTACGTCGGTAATCACGAGAGGGCGTCAGCGTTAGTATGTCGGGACCCGGGACGATATTCACAGGTAAACTCGAACTCCTGTAACCGTTCTTGCCAGCGAGCCACCTGACCTTCTGGTTCATGGAATGTTTGAAGCCGTTGTAGTGCACGATGGTCAGTGCCTACTCGAAAGGGGCGCCCAAGTAGATAATGTCTAAAGTGTCTTGGAAATACACAAAGGCAAGCATCTCCCTTCGGGTCGTCGAATACAGTGTTTCCTTTTTATCTAGCTTGCGACTGGCATATACAATAACGTGTTCTCAACCATCGGTTGCCACTTAGGAGAGGACATCCCCAATAGCGTTAGCGCTTGCATTCGTGTCTAAAATAAAAAAGCCAGATGACGGAGACGTGTCTGGAAACGCAAGGATGGGAGTTGACGTCAAGATCTTCTTTAGCTCGTCGAACGCATGTTGGCATTTTTTGGTCCATAGGAAATTACGGCCCTTTTCTGTCAGGCGAGGCTAGGGCGGCAAACCCAGGAACGAAACGTCGGTAGCACGAAGCCAACCCTAAGAAGCTACGAACGTCTTTACAGGACTTGGGTGTAGGCCATTCTGAGATGAGATGCGTTTTCTCTGGGTCTGTTTGGATACCATCTGGTGAAATTCGGTGGCCCAAAAATGTGACTGCCCTCTGTAAGAATGAACATTTTGACGGTTTCAACTTTAAGCCATTCGTTCTGAACCTTGTAAGAACAACCCGTAGGTTATCCATGTGATCCTCTGGGGACCTACCATGTACAATAATGTCGTCAAGATAGATGAGACACTTGTGCAGAACTAACCTGTCAAGGACTATCTGCATCAAGCGTTAAAATGTGGCGGGGGCATTACACAGTCCGAAGGCCATTATTCGAAATTCGTAGAGACCACTCGGAAGGATAACGACAGTCTTCTGACAATCGTCAGGGTTCACCTCTACTTGCCAGTAGCCTGACCGCCAGATCTAGTGTGGAGAACCACTGTGAGCCAGCAAGTGCTTCAAGAGTTGCATCGATACGTGGAATCGGGAAAGCGTCCCGTCTCGTTACAGCATTCAGTTTACGATATTCAATACACATTCGTAGGGAGCCGTCCTTCTTCTCGACTAAGACGATGGGTGACGCCCATGGGGAGGATGGAGGTACAATGATCTTTTTGTCCAACATATCTTGTATCAGGGCGTCCAACTGAGGCTAGTAATGCACGGGGATCCGTCGGTGTGGTTGACGCACAGGCGGATGGCTGCCTGTATCTATACGGTGCTGAACAACACCGGTGCGTCCCGGATTACCCCCATTATCAAGCATCAGCGTATTCATCAATTAATTCCAGCATTCGCCCTCTGAGGGAAGCAGGGGCGGATGGATCAACCGAAATTTGATTTAGGATGGCGGACACTGATAACTTTGACGCAGAAGACATCGGTTTCTGAGGGTTATATTAGGATATAGTGACCGAATCAATTGTGACTCGAGAATGGGCGATATCTATAAGAGTGTGGTGGGACGTCAGGAAGTCTACCCCTAGGATGAGGTCCCATGTAATCTGGCCACAGATAAGAAACTGATGGCGTACGTTTAGGTCTTCAAGGCGCAGCTGTAGATCTGTAGCAGATCGAGCTTTCATTTTATCACCGTTAGCTGTCGTCAAGACATTATGAGTGGTTACTGGGGTTGAGTACTGGGGCAAGCGTCGAAAGAAGGAAGCCTTTACGAGAGAGACCGACGCACCAGTATCTAAGTGTACTTTGGAGGGAACTCCATTAATATATCCCCATAACACCAAAGGTTGCCGGGTACAAGAGTATGTAGACAAATTAAAAACAGGGGTTCGGCTGGCGATTGTGACCACACTTGCGGGCCTTCCTCCCGAAACGTTGACAGTAGTAACAGCGACAGTAGCGTCCCCATTTGGACGCCGTTGGCTTCTTGAAGGGTCACGGCGGCTGCAGTGAATGCTGTTGGCAATGGGCATATAGAGCTGCTTGGTGTGGACGCGTAGTCGTTTTCAGTTTCCATGAAACGAAGAATAAGCCACTGTAACTCGGATGTGCTGGTTGGAAGCTGACGTCCTAGGTTTGTGTCCAGGTCCCCGGGCATCATTCCCTCAACAAAGCGTGTGCACACTAACTGGTCTCTGCTGGCTAGGTCTCCGTGACAGTCAAGTCCAGCTACCAGTAGCTGGAGGGCGTGGAGATAATCCAGGAAACTTTCTCCTAGTAGTTGTCGACGGGAGAATAGTTTGAGCAGGGTATGTTGCGAGCTCTGCCACAATACTCCCAGGTTTTCTATTGGATCGGGTCCCGGTTGCTTAATGGTATACGAGCTCGCCTTGTAACCGGAAGGTCCTGGGTTCGAATCCCGGTGGGTGCGTACTGCTGAAGAATCCCAAACTAGAACAAAACAGCTGTTCAGTACTCCCAGGTTTTCCAATGGTTCTCTAACTATTGTCAGCTCATGATGAAATCCTGAAACAGTCAATTTACTGATTACCATTTGCTTGAACGTGTTGTTATACGGAATAGCTACCATCGGGTTAGTTTTTAGTGGTTTGTTATGCGCTTTTCTCCCATTGGTTTCTTTTTTGATTTTGATTTTGTAGTTCTAATTGTATTTTGTGTATTGGTGTTATGATATTGTCATTGCCTCTTGATCATAACATGTTGTCCTTTGGTATTTATCTTGTTTACCGTTGAAACTTTTCAATGAATGTAATGTTACTGCTTTTCCATATTTGACATGTATACTGTTATTTTTCACTTAACATTTCCTAATTCCTTGAAAATTATTTGTTTGAATGGCTTTTATGTTGATGTGTACATTTTGCTGTTCTTTATTATTGTCTGTGTGTAGTTCTCTGGCATAGCTTTTACGTTTCTGCATTCATTTATGGTGACATTGCTGATGATGTCATTCAGTCTACATACCTCACAATCGGTAGTTGATATATTCTGTTGGTTATTTGTGTCTAATTGAGTTCTATATTTTTTTTCGGATTCTTTGTTCTGTTTTATAGCGCATAACTCGGACGTTAGGTCTAAATGGTTGGAATATGCTGTGCCGAATTTTCGTCATCCTGCAGAGTTTGTAGAAAGGTACCTATTACTCACCTGATGCTGTTGCGGCTAAATAGCCAACCGGAGTGGTGAGGACAGAGTGATGCTATCACACCGAACATGCGTCGGTGGCATAGTGGTTAGGACTCTCGCCGACCGTTCACACGGTCCGAGGTTCGATCCCCTCCCGACGCACACCTGATATCCATGGCCGGCCTGAAAATTTGTGTTACCGATATCCATGCTGAAAATTCCATACTTGTACCAAAAATACAGTGTGGAATCAAGCTGTAATCAAAAATAAAATAAATGAATATAATGTGTTCTGCAGATCATCATAAATGCAACTAGTTACATTTACTGTCGATGAGTTACAAAAACAGATTGTGATGCTGATGTAGCATAAGTTGTGCTATAGCTGACTGGAACTTAATCACTGAGTTGACACTTGCTGTTCAATCACCAAAGTGAGATGTTGCCATGAATTTTTACATGAAGACGCAACTCTAAATATATGACTGTCAACTGTGGTAGCACAGAATTAAGAAATGTCTTTCTGGGACCTTTAACGGTTAAGAATCTAGGTGCTAAATGATTTATATATATATATTAATTGAAAATGGTTCAGGTACTACATTAGCGTGTGATTCCCCAGCAACAAATAATAATCTGTAATGCATGCAGAATGATGAATTCCGTTCAGTAGATAACAGAAACTGATATGCTTTACTTGCTTTGAGATACTTTTTTTTCCCTTCAGGTTCCCAGTAGAACATAGGGCTTCAAGCCAGAGGCTTGACGTTTCCGCACCAGTGTTTATTTTTACAGGATGGCGTTGCTAGCCTCATGTCCAATCTTTCCTTTTCACCAGCTTTTACTTCTGGATGAGTGAGGTAATGCAGTGCACCGACCGGGGATCGAACTCTGGACCATGTGCATGGTCGGTGCGTGTCCTAACCGCTATGCCACCAACGCACGCTTTGAGATACTGGTAATATAAATTTAAAGTATTTAAAACTGATGCTCATGCATCCACTCGTCGATCTAATATATAACGTCCATCTTAAGCATGTAGCAGCAGGATATTCATGTCATTCATCAGTTCAATTATGTGTGGGTTTGTTTATTTCCAGATTGTGATTGTGTTCCAAAGACAACTTATTTTCCACACGACATTATAATTAAATAAGATACTAAAGGTATAAATTACTGAAGATGTTGTAATGGTGTTTGTGATGGTCATAGAATAAACGCCCCTTTTACAGAGGGAACTAGGCACTTTAATTTCACTGAATTTTTTCAGTTATCCTCTACATTAGTGAATAGGCTTTATCAATTTCTCCATGGTTAGCAGTTATTATCGAGAACTTTACTCATTTGTCGTTTTACACTCCAATATTTGTTGAATCCTCTATCTATAGCCTCAGGTGTCATTGACATTTGTGGTTGACTATTAAAAAGCAGCATTCATCTTCGATAGTTTTTGCAAATCCTCCCAAGTGTAGTGTAGAATTCTTAGCTGTATAACTTACGATTAAATTACGAGTGAGTAGTGTAAGTTTGGAGACACTAAAAACTCAGGAAATACATCTTCCTGATGTCATATACCAATCGACAATATCTGTATGAAAATTATACTGTCTGTTTTGCTGTGTGAAGTAGGTAAAGTTATTCAAGTATCTGTAATTCGTTAATTCTCCAATATTTGTAATTGTATTTCGCGATTACTAAATCCTAAGAAATCAAACAACAACACAGAGAGGGTAATTCATTTAATAAATATTAACAAACAACAGTACTTATTTAAACAATACCGTAATGGAAATTGTCAATCACCACAGGAAATCCAGACCCGAGGCATTTTGCTTCTAAGGAAATAAAAAAAAAGAAAATATGATGTCTAGCTTTCCAGAATGTGTAAAATTTGTGCGTGGAAATATTTACGAACATTCAAGTTCTGTTAATCGAATCGAATTCGCTTTTTGCAAACTTTGCAACTCGAGGTGATAATTCACAACAATTCCTTATGGAAACCTAAAATATTCAGATCACAATATGTGATCTTCTTGGTACTATAAACGGCAAACAAAGAAGCGTAATAGTATATACTACTGACTGACCTGAGTGGTTTGAAGTGGGTCACTCCAAAATGTAGCACTTGTTCGTCAAATCAAAGTGACGTAAACACTGGACTCATGTTTGACTACTTTGAGACTGAGCTCTTCGGACGTGTGCCCGTTTTCAAACAAGTGAGATCAGCCAACCTGACTAGGAAGCATTACTGGTTGATGTGAGTGGATCCCGACAACTCATATTATCAAAGTGGGTTTCAGTTGTTCAGTCTTATATCTGATGACAGTTCGTTTCCTGACTATACCGTGAAATTTTTCTCTTGAACATAGTCTACTGAGATAAACCATAAATCTAGCTCGAAACGTCATCCAGTTATTGATACTGTACCACTGTGTGTTGTTACACTAATAGTAGGGCAATGATGTCTACCTAGCTAACTAGACTGCGTACACAAACAACTGAAGGTAACACAACAGAGTGCTTATTGGACTGGACTCTTGACCGCATGCTTTCACCTCAACTAGTGGGCTCAATGAGTGAAGATCAGCAACCAGTGTTGAATGACAAAAGTGGTAGGATAATAATTTCGAGGAATTATTTCCTGCTACAGTCTAATAAATCCATGAATGGGTGAGTTCAAATAATTTATGTTAATACCTGAGACTAGTAATGCATGCTGTTATTTAAATATATAAACCAGCTTTTCTAATGAGATCAGTAGTTAATTTTACAAATAACCCTATTTAACAGTTATCTAAAGATTTAGCATTACTAGTATGCCCCATTGTGAGTTGGTGGTATAGCGGTTAGGACGCTCGCCGACCATGCACATGGTCCGGGGTTCGAGCCCCGGTCGACGCACTCCTTTACCTCGCTAAGCTAGAAATAATGCTGGTAAAGAGGAAAGGTTGGGCATGAGGCTAGCAACCCCATCCTGTAAAATAAAAACACTGCTACAGAAACTTCAAGCCACTAGCTTGAGGCCCTATGTTCCACTGGGGAACGTGAAGGAAAAATTAATTATTAATTAAGTATACCCCATCAGAAATTGTTCAAACTCTCAATTAACTATTTCACATGAAATGAAAAAGAAGTTAAATGACATCAAAACAAGGAAAAATGAGAATGGATTAGTTTTTATATAAGTAGTAGTCACTACTGCATTAGAAGCAGTTAGAAAAGAACCCACTGCTGATCCTGAATTGAATCATAGGATAAAGCCACCTAATGAAGAAAGCACTCTAATCACTCAACTATATCTCATGCATACTGTCTTCAAATTTCAAAACAAAATATGTAGGTGAACTGAATAGTTAGTAGTGGGATCACCAGTATCCCCAACCGTAGTAGATGTCTTTATTAGACAGTTGGAAAAATAATGCTCTTAAAACATTTAATCCCATCCCAGAAGTACAATGCAGTCAGGCATGCGGATGATCCTTTCATAGTGTTAAAAAAAGTCACCAATGTACATATAAAGGCCACATTTAATTTATAACACCTGATACAAGAAAAAAAAACTGAAAAATGTGCCTTAAGCAAACTAAATTTCTTTTAAGAAAAACTAGGCACATTAGCTCCACCCATGTCAGTTATGTGTATTCCGGGAGCTTCACAATCTACTTATAACATATTTTTTCTGCACTGTGTCACTTGAATCTTCTGTTGCATGTGTAGTGTCGTTCACCTCTTCAACTACTAGGGAATATTCTGTCAGAGGCGTGGTTTGTGGGACGACTAGATCGTAACTCTCTATGTCGCCCTCTAAGAATTCTTTAGATGAAATAATTAGTCGTTATCCAAAGACGACTGGAGTAACATGAGGTATAATGTACCTTATTTAGAAAATAGTTACGCGGATAATCAGAGTAATAAAGTTAAATTGAAAACAGTGATGTATCCAAACCTCACAAAATCAACAGGGAGACTAGTCATAAATCAGTCACTCAGAGACAGGTGATTAGTATATCAAAATACCCAGAATAAGGATTTTTCATATCTTCTCGAAGACGCCTGTAAAACTGACAGCAGCCAACTATAGAATATACTAATTAAAATACCTCTCAGTGGGTCAAGATCAGATTACCTAAGGGTCTACTGAAATACATTTCCTGCATTATGGATAAGACTTTATTTTGATAAATCACACACTGTTGTATAGTAATATTAACT